TAGCATTTATTTCTCTTAAAAGACACAAGCCAGTTAGTTGTGGTGACAAGGGATAGAATTTATATGGCTGAAAGAAATAGATAATTAAAATGTAAAAGTCATTTTAGCCTAATATTTAGAGCTGTTCTAACAAAATCTTTTATAACAAATAAGCAAGCAAATAATTTTGTCTTTGTTTCACCCCAATTCTTTTTCTCAGCCTAGGACAGGACTTTGGAGTTTTGAACAGAAGAGATAGAGATTTGTGATCACATTCATTATATTTGTGAATATTTCTTCCCTTTACTACTGGACTATAGGATTTTAAAAGACTGGATTCTTGTCATATTTTTCTGGTATTTCATGTTACGTCAAGGAAAGCTATGATAAACCCAGAGAGCATATTAAAAAGCAGAGATATCACTTTTCAACAAAGGTCTGAACAGTCAAAGCTATGGTTTTTCCAGTAATCATGTACAGAAGTGAGAGTTGGACCATAAAGAAGGCTGAATGCCGAATAACTGATGCTTTCAAATTGTGGTGCTGAAATCAACCCTGCATATTCATTGGAAGGACTGAAACTGAAGCTCCAATACTTTGGCCATCTGATGTGCACAGCCAACTTACTGGAAAAACCCTGACGCTGGGCAAGATTGGGGGCAAGAGGAGAAGGGGGCAACAGAGGATGAGATGGTTAGATGGCATCACTGACTCTATGGACATGAGTTTGAGCAGACTCCAGGAGTTAGTGAAGGACAGAGAAGACTGGCATGCTGTAGTCCATGGGGTGGCTGAGTTGGAGACAACTTAGCAAATGAACAACAAATTTTTGTGTCTAAAGCTATTGTTTTTTTAGTAATGCAAAACTCAGGTGTTTTCTCCATAGGAACTTTATCCACAGATAAGTCCCAATAGTCATTAAAACTAGAAAACTCTTAATACATTAGAAAATAAAGATTGTATGAATCAGATCTAATTCTTAAGGAAGATTTGGCTCTCCAGGTCCATTACTCAACAAATTCAAGAAGCAGTGTATTTATTGAATGCCTATAAATGTTAGTATTTTTACCAATTCCTAGGACAAAACATAGATATAATTTTGACTCACTGCTAGGATCACCATATTTTATAACATGAAAAGAAATATTTTTAGCCTTACAAAATTATCTACCTATCATTCAATGTTTCCACATTGACCTAATTGACATTCCCAGTTCTTCCTACAAAAATATAGAACAACCATTGCCTCCTTAGTCATTGTCTCCCTTCATTTGTGACATCACTTTCTTAGACCCTCAGTTTTGTTGCTTTTCTAGTATTTATAAATGAGCAAGTGAAAACAACAAAGTTAGAACTTCGTACCTGATGGCCATGTACTCTAACCACTAGGAGGAGCTCCATATTTCCAACATTTGGCGCGCTCTCGCGTGCACAGACACACACACACACACACACACACACACACAAGTCAAAAGAAAGATAATTAAATGCAGTTTTTAGTAGGAAGGATAAAAGTATTACAGATAAAATTAAATGTAGACTGTGCACTCTTCTTGGACCTTTCTTTGACATTCTTTTCTCTCAGAGCCCCATGAAACTTGTGGGTTAAGATAGAGCTTCTAGGTATCTTCCCCTTGGCAGATGCTCCCACTTTTGGAAGGCTGAGCTCGGCCAGGCTGGGGCTCAAGGAGAAGGAAATATCGAGGAGAAGCTTAGGGATCCTCCACACTAGACCTTTGGAAGAAGGGGCGGTGCTTTTTGTTTACTTACCTTCTCATAATGTTACCTCTGGATGACCAAGAGCAGCTGTATGCTATGGGTGAAACTGGGCAAGAAGCTGTTTATTTGTTCTGTTTCTAGATTAGAAACCATCTGGCAAAATATATATACCCTTTGCTCTTGGTATATAGGTCTTGGTGTGCCTGAGTGTGTGCTAAGTTGCTTTAGTCATGTCTGACTCTGCTACCCTGCGGACTGTAGCCCACCAGGCTCCTGTCTCTGGAATTCTCCAGGCAAGAACACTGGAGTGAGATGCCATTCCCTTTCACAGGGATCTTCCCCGCCCAGGGATCAAACCTGTGTCTCCCATGTCTCTTGCATGGACAGGAGGGTTCTTTACCACTAGCGCCACCTGGGAAACACATATGTCTTGGTGGGTTACCCACAAATGGGACAGTATACGAGGGACTCTTGAAGCAGCTGACAAAGTGGAGGAACATATTTTCTTTGAAAGGATGGTGGGTCATTTCATCTGCATCACCAGAGACACTTTCTGGTAACACCTCAGCCCTGAGTAATATGGTGAAGTAGTAATATGATGAAATCTCTGCCATTTCTAGTTGTTTCTTTAGGGTTGATTGTGGAATTACTAGATCAAAGGGGACACATATTTTAAAGTGAATTAGGAGTTTTTATCCCTAATTCCTTCAGCTGAAAACAAAGGATAATACTATCTGTCCTGTTGACTTAACCAATGTTGCCAGATGGTTTACACTCATGTATGTAAAAGTGCTTTCTAAAACATATGGTGCTGAGCAAACACCAAATATGGTTTTTTATTGTAATGTATATAGGTTTTGCTCTCAGAAGTACCATAAAACACTTCTTGAAGCCTAAACATATTTGGATTATGTAGAGGAAAAGAGCGACTTCACTTTCACTTTTCACTTTCATGCATTGGAGAAGGAAATGGCAACCCACTCCAGTGTTTATGCCTGGAGAATCCCAGGGATGGGGGAGCCTGGTGGGCTGCCCTCTATGGGGTTGCACAGAGTTGGACACGACTGAAGCGACTTAGCAGCAGCAGCAGCAGAGGAAAAGAGCAAATTTTCAGTTAGGTATACAACTATGAAATAGGACAGTATGGATATATTTTATTCAGAGTATTAAAAGGTTGATAGTGTGTTACATGATGATGTTCAAAAGTATACAACTTGTCTAGAATTCTTCCTTCTGTTTATTCTTTCTAGTGCACCTAAACCTGATTGTAGGCTCCCTGAAGATCTTAGCAAGTGAATCACTAACTATTTAGCAGGCATTTAAAAAATATTTATTTATTTATTTGGCTATGCAGGGTCTTAGTTGTGGCATGTGAAATCTCAGTTGAAATATGTGGGAGCTAGTCCTCTGGGTCCCTACATTGGGAATGAGGAATTTTAGCCACTGAACCACCAGGAAAGTCCATTGGCAGGCATTTGGGGAGCTCTGGAGTGAGGGGGTGTGGAGTTGTCAGAGAGATGATTATCATCAATGTTCTGTAATTAATGCAGGGGCATGTCCCTCCATTCTTTTTAGTATTGATGGAAGGTCATGTTTAGCAAATGGAGAGATGAATGAACCTCCTTAAGTGTGTCTCTTGGAGGTATCACAGATGTTTCCAATATCTAATAGTTATGCCCTGGCTTTACAAAGCAATACATTCCTGAGGTCTTCACCATGAGGTGACTTAGCAAAGTGACAGCAATGTTCTTCACCTTGGTAGACAGCATCATCAGTATCTCATGACAGCAACTAAGAATCACACTTAGTCTATTTCTCACACTCATGTTATATTATAGATCACCAACTCATATCAGTTCTGCTTCCAAAACACATCTGGAATCCATCTACTTCTTTTTACTGTGTTGCCATCATGATAGTCAGAACGTCATTATTTCTCACCCGAGCATCTCTGTAGCCTTGTCTACCTGATTCCACACTCAGTCCCTTACAGTCCATTCTCTACTGAACTAGATATTGTTTCCAACTTCAATCCTTTAGTGATTGCAAGAAAGAAATGTCTCTCTAGATTATTAAAGGATGCTAGGAATGGGAGTTGCTCATGCTTAGTGGGAATGGAAGGATTACGTTCAAATCTGGTTATCTTTTGGGCTGGCTTCCTTAGCGTACATCTAGAGGGTTTTGAACGAATTTCATAAGAGAACTCCTTTTTGAAAGAATTAAACCATTTTTGTTCATGTAATGTGGAATTTAACTGCGAAGAAGAGAGACACACCCTCTTTTGGCATTCATGATCAAGACACATCTTAAATTATGAATTCCAGAAAAAAAAGTTGAAATATACTAGCACAATATTCTGGATGTCTCTAATGTGTGTGTGTATCAGAGTAAGATTTTAGGAATGCTTAGAAGTTCTTACATTGCCGATTTTGCTCTCTCATCAGAAATATAGATATTCTTTCTCTACCATTTGAGTTAGATATAATAAACTCTTTGAAAACAAATCTAGTAATTTCATACAGCTCTTAAAGCAGTATTACTTAGCTAGATATTCTATGGTGACTTCATGATAATTGAGAAGGGATTGGTACATTACATATAAAACCAGGTCCCATGTATTTAGCTGCCCATTCTTTGCTAGATCTTTCATTATTCTATATCAACTACTGTTTCCCCTGGGCTAATAAATTCTTAAATTATTAACAATTAGCTTTAATGTTAATTGAACTAGGCTTCCCTGGTGGCTCAGGCAACCCACTCCAGTACTCCTGTCTGGAAAATCGCATGGACGGAGGAGCCTGGTAGGCTACAGTTCACAGGGTCGCAAAGAGTCGGACACGACTGAGCGACTTCTCTCTCTCTTTAATGTTAACGATGATTTAATTGCATAGCGTGCTCAGTTGCTTGATTCTTTGTGACGCCCTGGACTGTAGCTGCTCAGGCTGCTCTGTCCATGGGACTTCTTAAGCAAGAACGCTGGAGTGGGTCGCCGTTTTCTCCTCCAGGAGATCTTCCTGACCCAGGGTAGAATCCACATCTCCTGCACTGGCAGGCAGATTCTTTACCACTGAGTTACCAGGGAAGCCCAAAATGCTAACTAAAGGCATCTTAAAGTCTCAGAGCGGCGTGCAGTCTCCAGATTAGATATTAACCCAGTCAATGACTTAATTCTACTGCTCAGACTTTGTGAAAGAAGAAATTAAGGTAAAGAGAAGGGATATAACTTAATCCATGCCCTAGAAATTATCAGTAATAGAGTGACATTACTCTATTTTTTTTTTTTTGTCTCTCAAAAAATTTAGAGCTACCAGGGCCCCGAGTGGTTAAGTTGCTGTTATCAGATTTTAGCTATTTTACACTCTTGCAATGAGGAATTAATTGATTTAGATTTGTGGTCAAGAGCAGGTGATGGAGCAGGAGATGGAGTGGGCAATGATATGGTGCTTCAAGCAGCCATGATTAATCTTGGAGACGTGGAGGTGCAGAGGAAATTGTTAAAGAGGATGTAGAAGAAGATGAAGAAAGGCTTGAGGGGTGCATGTGAGTTCTCAGATAAGAGCTTTGGGATTTCTGGGCTGTGGTGAAAGAGGTTCTGTGTGGATTACCTGCTCAACTGCACACACACTCTGCTGTGCCTTCCAGTGGCCTCTTTTCCTGTCATTATTCATTTCAGGATGTTTTTGCTTCCTCACTGGGTCATGCATACCCACTGGGGTCTGTGGCTGTCATAATGTAGATGCCAAATATATGTTGAATAACACACCAGATAAAAGTCCCTGACTAGTCCAAATACTAAAATAACTTGTATTTCGTCCTTTGGAGATTCAAAGCCAGGTTAGACAACTCTGTTTAAGAAGAAACTCCTTCACACTCATTAGCATGGCTGTTATTAAAAAACTAGAACATAAGTGTTGATGAAGTAGAGAAATTGGAACCCTTGTGCATCGCTGGTAAGAATGTAAAATGATGCAGATGTTATGGAAAACCATATGGCAACTCCTCAAAAAATTAAAAATAGAATGGTCATATGATCTAGCCATTCCACTCCTGACTACATACTCAAAGGATTTGAAAACATGGAATTTAACTGACATAAAAGATCTGAACTTTGAAAGCTATAAGATATTGATGAGTTAAATGAAGAAGAAGTAAATAAATGGAAAGATATTCCATACTCACAGATTGGCAGATTTAATACAGTTAAAATGTCCCTACTACCTAAAGTGATCTACAGATTTAATAAAATCCTTGGCAAAATTCCAATGGCATTTTTCATAGAAATAGAAAAACACATTTCTAAAATTTGTAGGAACTACAAAGGCCCTGGTATAGCCAAAGCAATCCTGGGAAAGAACAAAGCTGGTGGCATCACATTTCCTAATTTCAAACTGTATTATAAAGCCATAGTAGTCAAAACTATATGGTACTGGTATAAGTACAGACACACAACTCAGTGAAACATAAGAAAGATCCTGGAAATAAACCCATGCATATGTTGGTTTACAACAAAGGAGCCAAGAATATACAATGAAGAAAGAATAGTCTCTTCAATAAGTAGTGTTGGGAAAACTAGCCACATACAAAGGAATGAAATTGGATCACTAACTTATACCACATGTGTGTTAGTCACTTAATTGTGTCCAACTCTTTGCAAACCCATGGACTGTGGCCTGCCAGGCTCCTCTGTCCATGAAATTCTCCAGGTAAGAATACTGGAGTGCATTGCCATTTCCTTCTCCAGGGTGTCTTCCTGAACAGGGATCAAACCTAGGTCTCCTGCCTTGCAGGCAGATGCTTTACCGTCTGAGCTACCAGAGAAGCACACCCCCCCCAATTAATTCAAAATAGATTAAAGACTGAGTATAAGACCTGAGTATAAAACTTCTAGAAGAAAACTTAGGGAGTAAGCTTTTTGATATTGATCTTGGAAATTATTTTTTGCATTTGACATCAAAAGCAAAGGCATCAAAAGTAAAAATTAAAAAAAAAATAAACACTTGGGGCTACACCAATCTAAAAAGTTTTTGTGCAGCAAGGGAAACAACAAAATGAAAAGGCAACATATGGAATGGGAAAAAATGTCTAAAAACCACATATCCAATAGGGAATTAATACCCCAAATATACAAGGAACTCATACAAATACAAACAATAGCAAAAAACATACAATAGCAAAAAACGAACAATCCATTAAAAATGAGCAAAAGAGGTGATTGTTTCAAAGAAAAATACACATGGCTTACAAGTACATGAAATGGTGTTGAAATCACTAATCAATAGGGAAATACAAATCAAAACCACCATGAGATATCACCTCATATTTGTTAGGATGACTGTTAGCAGTATACAAGTGATAACAAGTGCTGGAAAGGATATGGAGAAGAGAGTCCTTGCACTCTGTTGGTGGGAATGTAAACTGATACAGTCACTATGGAAGGGTATGAAGGTTCCTGAAGAAATTAAAAATAGAATGACCATATGATCCACCATATGGTTCCTTGATATATATACAAAAGAAATGAAATCATTGTCTTGAAGACATATTTGTACTTCCATGTTCAATGCAGTATTATTCACAACAGTTAATATGTTAGTAAAAGGGTACAAGCTTTCAGTTATAATATGAATAATGACTGCAGATTTAGTGTATTATATAGTGACTAGAGCTGATAGTACTACAGTGGATAATTAAAATACGTAAAGATAGTAGAACTTAGAGGTTCTCACCAAAAAGAAAAATGGAACATCATGAGATGTTGGGTGTATTCATTAATTTCATGAGTGGAATCCTTTCAAAAGTATTTGTATATCAAATCATCAGTGTGCTTTAAATGTCTTACAATTTGGTCAATTATGCCCTAATTAGAGCTGAAAAAAGAAATTAAAAGCAGGGATTTGAATTTGTTGTTGTTGCTTAGTTTTTAAACTGAGTCTGACTCTTTGCAACCCCATGGGCTATAGTCTACCAGGCTCCTCCATCCATGGGATTTTCCAGCAAGAATACTGAAGTGGGTTGCCATTTTCTTTTCCAGGGGATGTTCCTGACCCAGGGATCCAACCTGTGTCTCCTTCATTGGCAGGTGGATTCTTTATCTCCTGAGCCACCTGGGAAGCCTGGGGATTTGAATAGATATTTATATATGCAAATCTTCATGACAGCATCACTCATAGTAGCCAAAAGATGGAGGAGCCCAACTGTCCATTGACAGATGAATGAATAAACAAAATGTGATTTATACACACAGTGGAGTATTATTCAACCTTAAAAAAGGAAGGAAATTCTGATACATGTTACAACATGGATGAACCTTGAAGACATTACGCTAAGTAAAAAAGAAAAATATAGTATGATTCCACTTACATGAGTTCTCTAGAGGAATCCCATTCATAGAGATGGAAAGTAAAATGGAGATTTCTAGGGGCTGAGGGGAGCAGGGAATGGGGACATGTTCAGTGGGCACAGTTGCAGTCCGGGAAGATGAAAAAGCTCTGTGTGGGATGGTGGTGATGGCTGCACAACAAAGTGAATGCACTTAATGCCACTGAACTGCCTACTTAAAAATGGTTGAAGAGTGCATTTTACATTAAGTGCATTAAAATTTTTTTTAAAGTTAAGGTTAACAAAAAGAAACTAAAAGGAGCTATTGGAAGAGGGGCTCTTTAACCTCCTCAGATGCATCTGCTGACCTTCGTGGTGACAAGGGGCTGGCATACTTACTAGAGGACCCAGGCCAGGGTGTTGTAAGAAGAGCCACACTTTGAGAATTGGTGGTGATTATTTTTGTTTCCGAAGAGCAATCTTGCTCCAGGCAAGATGGTCCATATTATGGTAGATTATTAATTAGCATCCATATTATGGTAAAAATACTTCCTCAGTCTACTTAAAATTGACCATAATACTCAATCCCATCACAATATCCATCACCCTTGCTCTGACAAAATCTATCTTTATACTATTCTTAGGGAGCACGGTGATTTTTCGATCTTTTGTTTCTTTTCTCTCTCTCTCTTTTTTTCTCTTTCATTTGCCAACAAAAGAGTTGTCAAAAGTAATGTTTATAATAATTTAACGGATTATTTGCTTATTAGATATTAATCATTCTGCCGTGCCTCGGGCCCATGCTGCTGCTTTGCTGCTAGAACAGTGATTCTGATCTCAATTAGATTATGTCTCTCTCCTTTACCTCCCCATAAATCATTCCAGCAAACTGAAATTAACAGCTACTGGAGCGCATTAATAATCTGCCTCACACATTGGAAAATGCATTAGCCGGAACCCTCCCATCGCTCTGACTGTTAAGCACATCATTTTGTTTATGAAATATAAACATTTCATGGAAGAGCTCCCCCACATTTCTCTGGGCCTGTGACAGCTAAAATGATTGCACACAATTGCCAGTCAGTCATGCGCCCAAATAAAGTTTGTTTAAAGTCATGGTTCTGTGACTGCCCCATTTTCTCAGGCATTTAAAAACCTACATTTAAGGAAAAATCTACCGTGATCATGAAAATACTAATAGTACCTTAAAATTGATACCTCATGTGTACAGTCCTTTTTGCATCCTTTTACAAAGTGCTTTCACTTTCTTATGCCCATGAGCTAGCAGGATGCTGTTATTATTCACATTTTATTTTTCCCTTTAGAGAAACTAAGCCTGAGAGAGGATTTGATCAAGGTCACACAGCAATTGGTGGAAGGATGGTCTAGAGTCCAGGATTGATTGTAAGTTTCATGTTCTTTTCAATGTTATACATTCTATACTGTAAACCACACTTTGTATATCTATGTTCACGCTATTTCTGTTTGTTAAATTTGTAATGCAGCCATGTATCCTTTGCGGAGAAAGAAGTGATCTGCCTTTATTCTGACAGATTAAAGAGCAAAATCAAGAAAAGTCAGAGGTAGAAGAATTATTTTCCTTATTTTAATTTACTGCACTTACTCATCGTGTTGTACAATACAACAATTGCATCTTGTATAATTCAGTGATGATGTAGATAGCAGTGTATTTGAAATGGAGATTGACATACAATCAACAGCATTTTAGGGAATTTCCTGGTGGTCCAGTGGCTAAGATTCTGTGCTTTCACTGCTTAGGTTGTGGGTTCAATCTGGTTGGGGAACTAAGAACACACAAGCCATGTGGTGCAGCCAAAACAACCCAAAAAACCCTGGCATTTTTTAAAAAATTCCTATATAGATAGAGTCTCTGGATGATTTCAAGAACTTAAAACACCCTCTCTACTTCAACAGCAAAATATCTTGGTCTTAATTTACTTCGATGGCAGAAAAAAATGGCAGCAGAAAGTTTGTCAGTATTTTTTGTTTTGTTATATCCAAGAAGTCTTGCTTACTGAAGTTAAACTGATTACTCTCCAACTAGTATCTAAGCTCAGCAGAAACACTGACAGTAGCATGTTTTGGCTGACTTAATTGTGGAAGGTAAATAATAGACAGCTACTGAATGGAAGAAATAAAAATAAAACTTTGTTGGAATTTTAAAAATATA